GTAGTAACAAGAAGCTACTAGGAACAAGTGCATCGCTACTAGTAACACGACGCACCTGAACTGAAAGGCACGTGTCAAAGATCAGGTCAACCGCTTGGATGACACCTGCCTGGCTATCCGACCCGACATCAAGCCCTTTAAGCAAGTTCTGGAGGTGCACCCGTGGCTTTGCGCTTCCTTGCCACTGTTTGCCACTTCATGAAGTGAGAGGCAATCAGTGTCAGTTTTCGAGCTGTTCCTTGAAATCTTAGAAGGCTCCCTGGCTCCAGAATCTTCAGGTGCTTGGCAAGAATGGTGGAGTAGAGGCCAAGGCTTTCTCCAACAACCCGAAAATCAAGCCAGAACCTGGGCTGAGATCCAATGGGTCCATGGAGCGACAGCGTTGTTATGGTTGACCATGACACACAGGTGGGAGGTTGGATTCCCGAGAAGCTTACGCGCACAGCCTCTGTCCGACAGTCTCAACAGCGGCAATTGCGGCGGTCGAAAACCACTAGGGGTCGTCCTACATGGGCATTAGGGCGCGCCAACGCCTGGGCCCCTGTGATGGGCCGTCGATTGATGAACCTGATCAGATCCTGAATCACAACATTCTCAAGATCAACCGGATAACAAAGCCTCATTTCCGAGAAGCTTAAACATATATTATACATATATATTATATTTTTATATATGTATACATATTCATTTACATTTTTTGTTTCCTATTTGCCCTGGATATCCTGCACCCACATATGCTGGCTGTTGTGCTACCAGGCGACTTGAGGTGAGCAAAGAAGTAAATATGACTTGTGCAGCTCAGGACGGCTCCATTGATGGAGGAAAACCATCTGAACTCAGATCTTATAAGCTGTGTCTCGGCCTATCCAGTCTGGCTTGAGAAGAGTTTTCAGACGGTTTCAAAGATCTCGACTTCCAGCCAAAGGCCCTTCTCCAGTTGCAAGAGGGTTTATGCTTATTTTCATCGGATTTTTGCATGTGAATGTTGTGGTCTCGAGTGGCGGCCCGCTGTTCTGATTGTCGAGTGTTGGCTTCATAAGTCGCGTAACGGCAGCTTGTCAAGGTCCCCAGATGGCTCGTACACCGCTGCCCACTACCTGCGATCGGGCAAGTTTGACCTGTTGAAGTATGAGGAGCCTGGGAACAGACTTGGTTGCAATAACAACTTGGGAGTCAAGTCGCGATGCCCTTGCTACTAGTAGCTTCTTGTTCCTAGTAGTAAGGCTAGGAGCCCCTAGTAGCGTCCTGGCTCCTAGTAGCGATGCCCCTTGCTACTAGTGAATTTCACAGAATCTGAGCATTGAAAGGGTGCATGAGTTGAACTCTTGTGACATCCTGCAGGATGGAAGGCTAGTGGAGTGCGACTACGTCAAAGTCTCAAGTTTATCCTACTCTGTTGATTGCACACAATTGCTGGCATATATCTTACACTAAAGCAATGAGCACCATTTCACACATTTCTGTCACACATTTCTGGCAGTCTAGACAGAGATGTGGGTGTTCCAAGAAAGACGAATTGCATGGCTTGCATTTCAGCTTGATTATTGAAACAAGATATGACCGTCCTCTCTTGAATTATCCCTTGTCCACTTTGCAGGGCGGTTGTCCTGAGGATCCGAAGACAGGACACTGGGCAGGCTATGAAGCAGCAGCAGCGTGATGGGAAGGCCAGACGTTTGGCCATGCTTGGTGTGGGGGGCAGATTCTGCTGATACCAATCATCCAAGTATCAATTGTAACAGAATCTCGACAATCCACTGGGATCCAGAGCAGGACTGCCCCTCACCCTCTTGCCAACTCGGTGTCACAATCAGCGCAGCAGGGCTCTTCCCAGAGATCTCGTAAAAAAGGCGTGGCTGTTGACAGAGAAGGGAAAGCGACACAAACCTTCGAGTGGTTTGATTGTGTGGCATCACAAGAATTTATCTTCAGGGCATCGAATCTGATAGTATGCAGATGCAGGTGCTTTAGAAATTCTTATACACTGTATATCATATATCTGATAAGGTCCTTGATGGATCACGACAAAGCTGTCCTCCCGACACAGTGTCGCACGGACTTTGTCCTCGTTCGTGATAATGACAGAGAAGTGCCTGTAGGTTCTTACATCTTGCTATTAGGATGGAGGCCATCAATCTTAGGTTGGAGGCCATCGCTAGTAGGTTGGAGGCCATTGCTATTACGGAGAAGTGCCTGTAAAACTGTAGGTTCTTCTTCTTACGGTTCCGCAGCAAAGCGAATCGCCACCTGAGGACACGCGCTCCAAGCTTCGATGGCCTCATGCCCGGAAGCCCCAGATGTACAAAGATTCATGGCCAATCGTCTATATAGTCTACTCTAAAAGCCTGAACAATCAACATCCAAGCCAGTTTGTCAAACTCTGAAGGACTTGCTGAAGATGCTCTTAGACCTACTTGCACCGAGGCGCCTCTCAAGTACTCGCAGCCTAGGCTGGCCCTTTTAGAATCTGAGCAAGCTTCATTGGAGACCATTTGCTTTGTTTCCGGCAGATGGCTTCTCCTTTTATGATGATTCCAAAGCCCTAATGAATCCTACTACTACTACTACTACTACTACTACTACTACTACTACTAGGTAGCTCCCATCCAATTCCATTCACTTCTCAGTGGATGATCATCCTAGCTTGGCCACTCCTCAAGGTGGTGCCAGCTCACCCCTCCTCTCGGTGCTGCGCCTCTTGGCCAAGCCTGTGAAGGTGCTTCCAGTGTACTTGGAAGTCTTTGAAGTTGGAAGAAAGAAGGTCATATAGTTGCTGTTTTTTTTTGTTTCTTTGCGCTTTTCTTCAGACTATTCTTTTTACTGTATCTTTTGCAAACAACAGCCGTTCACTTGGTCCTTCTTTGACAGCTTTTGCTCCAAGCCAGGAAATTGGGTGACATTTCTTGCCCAAAGATGAAAGCAGCCTGACAACGCTAATAAAATTTCGGGGATCATTGTTACCAAGCAAGGTAGCTACATGCTATGTAGACGTAGAGAAAGAGGAACGAGGACAACAGACTTCAGTACAGGGTGCGTTCATGACCACTTTGCAAATGGGACAAAACAACTAGACCATCAGGCTGCATGCCTGCGACATGTCGCCATGACTTCCCGGAGCAGTTCCTCAGCGGACTCTTCCGATGGACCCGGATCGGACCCCATCAGCCCACCAAATGCGGAGGACAAATCCTCAGATGAGGCGCTTGTCGAGCTGGCCGAGCCTGTCGATCCAGAGGATGCACTCTTGGATGAAGCACCGGAAGTTGAGAAAAAAGACCTCGGAGGAGGTTCAGGGTGAAGATGCACAGCCAAGAGGCAAGGTAACGTACAGACAGAAGTCCAACAGCTTGGAGGATCCGGAGCCAGACTTTGGTGAAGCTGACCAAGGTGAAGCAGACAATGGAGAGAATGACGTGCGTGATCCTGTGGCAGTTTTGCAAGTTTTGTGTTTTGGGCTCCTGCCTTCCACTGTTGGTTGCAAGTTTTGTTCTCATCATCTCTCATCCAAATCCAGCGAAGGTGAAAATGCTCCCTTCAGCAGCAGTTCTTACTTCGAAGATGCGCCAGATGATCCCGACGGAAATTGGTCATTGGAGTGGCCATTAGGCATGCCCATGGGAAGCCAGGGTGAGAGTCTAATGACTCAAAGCCTTTTTGAAAGCCAGCTCGCTCAAGAAGATGGTGCTGAAGAACTTGTGGAAGTCCCAGAGGTTGGGCTTGCAACTCGGCAAGTGCCTTGCGCCCAGGCAAGGCTTTTAGGATCGAGCAGTACTTACCTGATTTCTATGCAAGAATTTTCTAAGACACAACAACGGAAGGAGTGAAAGAGCAATGGTATGTTTGTTGGCATGGCCCCAAATTGATGAACAGTTGTCCCAGAACTTTTTGGCACACAGAGTGAAGCACGTCAAATTTGCTGGACATGGTTCAACATGGGTGGGACCACATACAATCCGTGTCAATGCTTGTATCTCTGTCAGACCTCCCGTTTTTGTCAGACCTGGTTGGTCGCTGGTCCTTCTGTCTCCACCTAGATCCTCAGAGGGCACGTTGAGAAACATTCCACTCTGACCCGTGTGAGGATGAGCCACCTGAGCCACCTGAGCCACCTGAGCCGCCTGAGCCGCCTGAGCCGCCTGAGCCATTGTCGCCGACCGAGATGTATCAGCCCATTGAGGAAGACATCGACGACGTGAGGATTTTTGTTGAGGATTCTCCGAAAGAGGTCCCGGTCTCGAAGTTCCTTGGCATGCTGAAGGTTGTCGGGCATCCGAAAGAGTCTCGCTGTTTGGGCACTCTTTTGGACAGCCCGACAACGATTTTTCACCTCCGTGAAACTCCAAACGATCTGGCCTCACGTTTGGACTGTCCATCCAAACTCGATCCATCGATCCGCGTAACACGTTTTGTTGGGAGGCTTGGGAGCGTTCAGTTTGCCTTGGGCTCTCGCGCATCCTTGGACCATGTCTCCGTGAAACCCAGTCGCCAAAGCAGCGAAGCAGAGGCGAAGCATCGTTTATATTGGGTTCTGAGAACATACTAAATGAGCAAAACGGTTTGGACAATCCCTGCATCAAATGATCAATTGTGCGTTTAACTCCACACAGTTGGACTAGGAGCTGGTTGGAGCCGTATTTACAGTCAGGTCTATGACAGTATGGCCAGCGGGACACTGGTCAGCCCTAAAGCGTCCAACGACTTGAAGCACCTTGGCAAGTCTTGAAGCGCCTTCAGTCAGATTTTGCGTGCCAAACACCTTCACAGATGCTTCTACAAACATCTGAGAGGTGTTTGCCCGTGATCCATTGGAGCTGTTTGACTGAGCTCTGTGGTCTGCCTGACCACGCCCTCCAAGGTCACGCTTCCGGCAGTCGCGGGTGGTGAGTCAAGCCTTGGGGACTCTGGATATACGGAGGCACAGATGTGTCAATACCAACTGAATAAACTGAGCACTTGGCAATGACTTTGTGCATTATATTTTGTATTTGTGGGTTCAAGTCTGCCTCATAGATCAGAGTGATTAGATCGATTTACATTTTCAAGACAGATCCTGAAAATGGCCATGCCAGGACCGTCGCTTCTCCCATGGAAGGTGGCTTGAAGAAGTCCTCCGCCAGGATGTGGGTTGAGCGTTGAGAGATTTCATCTAACATTGTGCATAGGAGACGTAGATAGGATATGATAAGACTTCAAGATGATGTTCTTTTTTTTTCGACAATGTTTGCTACATTTTTGCGCTGCTGTAGGCAGCGCTTCTCATTTGTGCCTTTCAACGCCTTTTGGTCAGTTTGTTGACCAGCCCAACATCCTATGACCGATCAACGGACCTTCGATGACTCTCAGCTTGACACGGCCCCAGGATGATGGCAAGCCCTGCGTCCCGAAACTTTCGAGA